AAAAAAAAAAATAAAGCAATTTTTAAAGAAAGAAAGAATCTCTACTCTGTCTCCAGCGGACTAGGAGGGTTCTGGATCTGTGACAGATCCACCCAGTGGATGCTTGAGGATTTGCTTCTGTGGGCACAGCGGGCAGGAGGGAGAAACATGCGCACCTGAATCTTCACTTGATTGTAACAAGCCGGACAGCTGCTTAATGCTTGGTGCTCACAGTTAAGGCCACCAAATCCTGGCTTGCAGACACAGCTGCCATCACTTCGACACTCTACAGCCTCTGAGCCCATTGGGTTGCAGTTGCAAGCTGGAGATGAGAGACAAATGGAGTATTTACATCAAACTAATGCCAGAAACTGGAGGTATAGCAAAAATACAAGGAAGATGAAATCTCTAATGGCAGAGAATTCTTCTTCTTAATGCATTTTGGGTTGGAGTCATCTCTTGGCTATATGCATCTTCAAGCACATTCGTAATACAGACAGGTCTTAGGAACCATCTGGCAGGTTTGTTTGGTGTATGTAGATGCAGGGAGATTACAACAGTCTGACCTTTCTGGCAGCCCTCATTTTCTTCCTCCCATTAAACTGAAAGCCTATTAGATGTTCCCTTGGCGCTCTGGCTTTACTCTCTAGGTGAATGACATTTCTCCCAGGCCCCTTATACACCTGATGTAGATATTTCCCTCTATTTTATAGATGAGGAATATGAGCTCAGAAGAGTTGAGTAATTTTCCCAAGGTCACACAGCAAGTAAACGGCAAGCTTCGGTGAGAGCTTAGAAAGAACCAATGTTCTCTTCCTTCTGGTCTGCTGCCTTGGTATGGGAAACAGTAGGAAAGCAGCATCTTTATTCATTCAGTCAAATTGATTGAGTACCTAGTGTATGCTCTGTTTTAGGAGACAAGGCATAAGAGTGGGTGAGGCACTGCTCCGATGATTACAGTGGTTCTCTGAGTTGTTCTATCTTCAGTGCTTGTAAAACACCAGTCACATGTCTAAGTATAATACCATTATTTGCATACACATTTGTATGCCTTCCTTTTTAGCATGCAAGTTCTTTCGGAGCTGGGATGACATTCATTATTATAGCCTCAGTGTCTAGGTCCACACTGGGTAAAAGATATCTTTTTCTTCAAGATATCTATTTCTTCATTCAACTATCTTTTATCTTTTCTTGATAAAAGAAAACAAACTATCAACTATCTTTTATCTTTTTTTTTTTTGCTTGTATGAAAGGTCTTTATTGCTGGGGGAAGGGAGGCTGCAGAGCAGCACCAAGGAGGAGAGAAGAGAGAAGAGGAGAGAAAAGAGGGGAGAGAGATAAGAAGAGAGTGGGGAAGAGAAGAGAGAGAGAGTAGAGAAGAGCGAGGAGGAAGACGGGAGAGAAAGAGAGAGAGAGAGCAGAGAAGGAATGCAGAGAGAGGCGGGAAAGAGACAGAGAGCAACTATCTTTTATCTTTTCTTGATATATTTTATCTTTTATTTGGCATCTAAAATATCACTTTTATTAACACTTTAGGGCTACTATAATGGACAGTTTCGCAGAACAGAAGAAATAAGACAGTCTCAGGACAACACAGTGTAAAGTTGCAGCAGACAGGTTAATACTCCTCACCCTCATCTTCCCTGCCAGCACTACCTGCTCCAACCTCCTCATAATCCTTCCCAAGGGCAGTCATGTCCTTACAGGCCTCAGAAAACTCTCCTTCCTCCATCCCCTCACCCACGTACCAGTGAACAAAGGCACGCTTGGGATACACAAGGTCAAACTTGTGGTCCAGGTGAGCCCAGGCCTCAGCAACAGCTGTGGTGTTGCTCAGCTCTCTGTACACAGCTCTCTGTACCTTGGCCAGGTTGCTACCAGGTACCATAGTGGGAGGCTGGTAATTGATGCCAACCTTGAAGCCAGTGGGACACCAATCTACAAACTGGATGGTACACTTGGTCTTGATGGTGGCAATAGCATCACTGACATCTTTAGGGACCACATCACCAGGGTACAACAGGTAGCAAGCCATGTATTTACCGTGGCAAGGATCACATTTCACCATCTGGTTGGCTGGCTCAAAGCAAGCATCGATGATCTCTGCTACAGTAAGCTGTTCGTGATAGGCTTTCTCAGCAGAGATCATGGGAGCATATGTGGCCAGAGGGAAGTGGATGTGGGGATAGGGCACCAGGTTGGTCTGTAATTCTGTCAGGTCAATATTCAGGGCACCATCAAATCTGCAGGAAGCAGTGATGGAGGAGACAATCTGGCTAATAAGTGGTTCAGGTTAGTATAGGTTGGGCGCTCCATATCAAGGTTCTACGACAGATGTCATAGATGGCCTCATTGTCTACCATGAAGGCACAGAGTGCTCCAGGGTGGTGTGGGTGGTGAGGATGGAGTTGTAGGGCTCAACTTTTGATAAAAGAGAGTTGAATGAAGAAATGTGTAATCTAAAAGCCAGTGAAACCTCTATTAATAACTTAGAATGACAGCTACAATGATAGTTAGAATACGTAGCTAGAATTACAGAGCTTACGTAGCTAGAATTACAGTGTGCTTCCTCCTTTCTACCACTTTGAGTTAAATATTATTCATTCATACAAGGAAAAAGGCTCAGAAGGATTAATTTGCACCATCAGCATAATAATAGGTATGTTAAAAACTGGACTTGAACTCAGTACTGCTGAATGGGCTCCTCCTCTCAATGGGGTGATTTTCTGCATATCACAGCCACCCTGGAGGTTGGGGTCATGGCTGGTCTGGCCCATAAATCCCGAGGGATTGTGCCCCTAGGGAGAAACCTCATCGTGCACAGAGGTCCTCAGGCATTTCCAGGCAGAGACTTCGGTATGAATGAGAGGCTGTGGGCTCCCTACAGACCAGGAGTCCCCCAATCTGGGCTTCTTATAATAAGCAAGCTCCTGAGTCTGGGCTCCAGCATTGGCTTGGAACTCAGGGGTGAGTCTGTGCTGCAGGCCAGCTCCTCTAGAATATGACACGTGCTATGGTTGGAAGGAACAGCTGGGCAAGAGGAACGGTCTGCACATTTGTGCTTTGATCTGAATCCGCCCTCAGGAATGCTCTTCAATAGCTGCTGCTTTGAAGCCATCTCGTTAGGAAAACGTTCAACTGTTACCTTTCTGCACATCTATCACGCTGGCTTCCTGAGAGGGTCTCTTTAACTACTTGGCAGCCCATTCCCCGCCCCACTGCAGTTTGTTCAGGCTTAGCCTGAGTCATTTATTACTTTCCTATGACAGGTTTGGCAGCCACTTCCCTGCCAGCCTGCCTTGGGATTGGGCACAGGACATGGCCCGTTTTATCTCCTCTTTCACTTCGGAATGTAAACCTGACCTTTTCTCCACTTCTCCCTCCCAGCTTTAACCCAGCTCTGACTACCGTAGCCCTCTTACAAGGGAAACTGGTCTGAAAGCCCTTGACAGGTGAGAAGTCCAGGCCACTCACAGGCCAGTTTGGTTAGAGAAGCGAAGCAGCATCATGATATTAAGTGCTATCTCCCCTTGCTGACATGTGTACATGCTAGTGAGCCCACACGTACATAGGTGTACACACACACACACACACACACAGACACCTCCTCTCTGGGGGTGCAGTCCCACCTTGGCACTTGTCTGCTGGGTTGGGAGCCAGTGGGTCCCCAAAGTAGCCTGCTTTGCACTGGTCGCAGTAGGCGCCGGCTGTGTTGTGGATGCACTTCAGACACCTGCCGGTCAGCCGGTCACAGTTCCCTGAGGCACTGGGGTCCACATTGTTGTTGCACTGACAGGGCTGACAGGGCCTCACTGGGCCTCGTTCTCCGAAGGGGTCCCCAAAGTAGCCATCAGCACAGAGCTCACAGCGGGCACCTGGGAAGGAACAAAGGGCCAAGCCCAAGTGGGCATTCGTCGGCAGCAAGACCAGATGTGGAGCATTTTCAGCTGCTGTGCCGCGGCACACTGCTGTGCGTGAGAGACTCTCCAGTGTGCCGTGGAAATTTTTAAAGATCATTAATTCAATTAGTTTTGAAAGTACATTCTTTTTCTTACTCTTTTTTTTTTAAATCAACATACTGTAAGTGTGCTGCATACGTTAATTATAGGTTCAAGTGTGCCGGGAGATAAAAAAGGCTGAAAATCACTGCTCTTCTTAGAAGAGCCAGGGAAATGCGCTGGCCCTGGGAGGCCAGAACCACACCCTGAGGAGCAGGTGCACAGGGAGGACTGGCTCTCTCACTCCGGGGCACCTCAGATTTAGAACTGAGCCGCACCGCTAGGAGGCTTAACTAGCTAGTTGGGGGCAAAGCTAGCAGCTCCACAGAAGTGGTGAGATACCACCAACACTGCTGCTGAAGACTTCTTCTTTTAGACTGACCAGCAGAGGACAGGACATTTCAGAGGTCACTAAGTTTTCCCTCTTTGCCTTGGTTCATTAACAAAAACAAAACCAACTTAAACCACGTATCTCATCTGAAAACAATATCTCCTAGTTACAAACCTCCCCAGGCTGCCCAAGATGTTTCCTCCATCACTGAACACTGCCCTGCACTTCACTTCTTGGGCACTGCACTATCTGATCTTTCAGACATCGCCTTTAGAATGAGCACATTTAGATTAACCCTAAGTAATATAATTTCCTAGAAATTCTTTGGAATAGATGCTATTTGCATGAGTTCATGACATCAGGACAGGAAGAAGCAGGTGGCAGAGCAGGCCCAGGGTCTTACCGGTGACCCCAGGGGGGCAGTTATTGCACACCACCTCATCCGTCTCGGGCATCACCGAGCAGCTGAACCCATTGTGACAGGGGCAGGGCTTGCAGCTGCGGGGGTCATGTGGATCGTTGTAGAAACCAATGGGGCAGTCAGCACACTCGATATCAGGATTCTCATCCCCTGAGTAACAGTCTCCTGGGAGGCAGAAGATGGAGGGGAAGAGAAGTGAGCAAGGTCAGACAATACATTTCCTTTGATACAGATGATGCTGGGGTCAGATGGTAGAAAGTCAAAGCCTTCTTTGCAGAAACTTTCCCCTGAAGGGTCTGAGCACTAGCATTCACCCTGCTCTAGTTCCAAATTCAGACTTGGCTAAGACCCTGAATCTCACCCTCACTCTCCCACGCTGAGTAGACAAACACTTCCTTTACTATCTATAACTTAGCATGGCCCCCCCTTGCTCCCAGGCCTGGCACCCCTTAGAACACTACTTGCCTTTGATCTCCCCACACAATTCTTGCAATTGGACACCAACTCCCCCACCCAGCACTGAACCATGACAGCCATTTCCTGTAACCTAGCACCTTTCTCACAACCTTGTGGCATTTCCATAATGAAAAGGATTGAGTGTAACAGGGCACCACTGTCCATCTTCACTGACTCCCGCTCCACTCTCCTAATCCTCTTCCCCACTCTGAAGTGAGTTCAGGCATGGTCTTTCTTACACAGCTCTATCTCTTCTATAGGAGACCCAGTCACCGAGCTGCACCCCCAGCCACCTAGTCCAGGTACTGTCTCACTCACCAGTGTCCGGGTCACAGGCCCCTCCCCCTTGGCAGTTGCATGGAATACAGGTGCCAAAAGGCCCCAGTCTTGCAGAATCCCTTTTGTAGCCAAAAGCACAATCCTGGCAGAACTGTCCCTTGTACCCAGCAGGACACACACAGTGCTCGACCCAGGGTGCTGGGGCTCCAGAGACGGGGCGGGCTGAGATCAGGGTCACATTGTCAATGTACCCAGTACCTGCAAGAAAGGCCAGGTTAGAAGAGTAGCAAGTGGTAAGGTCTAAAGATCTAAATTCAGATCTGTCGGGATTTTTTTTCTCTTAACTCCCTCTCAAAGAGAGAGCGTTCACACATGATGCTGTAAGCAACCTATCGTCCTCACTGAGTGCGCAGGCTCTGGAGTCAGAAAACTCAAGGCCTAAATTTTGCCTCCACCTTCACTAGCTGTGTGAACCAGGCAAGTCATCCAGACTGTGTTTTCTCAAGTATAAGACAACCAACAGTAGCATCTACCTCCTATCATGGTTGTGAAAATTAAACGAGACAATGCATATATTATAATGTATCTGGCACGTAATAAAGATTCAATAAATTGTTAGTAAACACTTTTCCACTTCCTGTTTTATTTGTGCATCAATGACATGGAAATGGTGCATGTTAGCCATGCTTCCTTTTGACATGAGCACTGAAAAGTTTAAGGAACTCTTGTTAAATAACTCCAATTGGTGCTGAGCACTATGGCTCACGCCTGTAATCCTACCACTCTGGGAGGCTGAGGCAGGCAGATTGCTTGAGCTCAGAGGTGCCAGACCAGCCTGAATCAGAGCAAGTCCTCGTCTCCACTAAAAATAAAAAACCGAGGCAAGAGGATCACTAGAGTCCAAGAGTTTGAGGTTACTATGAGTTCTGATGACGTCTCGATACTCTACCCAGGGCAACAGAGTGAGACTCTGTCCCCAGAAAGAAAACAAAAGAGAAAAACTGTAATTGGGATTAGGAGGACCCAACAGATGAGGTTCAAAGAAAGGAATTAACAGAATATGTAATGTTAAATATAGTAGCATCAAGTTTATACCCCAAAGGAAAAGTTACTTAAAGAACAAATAGGACTGGGCCTTGATGCCGTTTCCTAGCTAAGGAAATGTGCCCATTTGTTGTGGAGTATCTTTCTCATATGATCAGCTTTAATCTAAATTCATATACTCTTTTAGCATGGTAGCATCATTCGTTCTTCATTGGTGCTGACCTCTTTTTAGAGAAACATTCTTTTTTCAAAAACTTGTAGACTGTAAAAATTTAGACTTGTTTGGAGACTGTCACCACCTTGAAGAGCTGAAATAAGTTAATCTAAAACTGAAGGAGAGAGAACTCCATCCACTTACTGTATTCTCCATACGTTGCTCGGATTCGGAGCGCTGTGAGGTTCCGCAGTAACCTCCGATACTCAAAATAGCTCAGCTGGGGGCTCCAATTACTGCTTGGATGTTCATTTAACCTGCATAATTCAAAATCAAAAGCTTTAAAAATCTGACTCTTATCACATCCCTACCTGATACAAACTATGTCCAAGAAGGTGGGAATAGTTAAGCCCCTTCATAGTCCTACCTAGAGGGGGGTACAGGACTGGTAATCAGTCCAGTGAGCATGAACTTGGAGCTTCCTCTTTCCATGAGGGGCAAACCCCAGAGGAAGTGATGACAGGCGTCCCAGTGTGGAAAGTCTAGATCCAGGGGCCATGTCACCAGAAGCTTGGTCTCAAGTCCCTAGATACCACTTTCTAGTCCCAACCATGCAAAACCTGATACTAGAAACACCTGTGAGTTCCAGAAGTTCTGACCCTCAAGAGCTACCACTCATTTTTGGTTTGGTTTTTAAATGAGTTATTTGTTATCTGAGTCCACTTCACTTACTTTTTTCAAAAATCAGTTTCCACTTTTTGCATCCTCAGCATCCAAACCTTCCTAATCTGGCATCCCAGTGCCTCACTGCATCATGCTGTCAGCCTCAGGCCACTCTTTTACATTTCGTCTTGTTTTTTACTGACTGTCTCTTCCAGAAACAGCCCTACCCCTTTCCTTTCATTCACTGATTCATTAAACAAAAGCTGACTGTGCACTAGGTTTGGGCTAGAACCTGTGTCAGGCTGGAAGACACAGAGACAGGCCGGGGAGGAAAGTGGGCAGATAAATGGCTAGAATGAATGCAGTGAGCGCTGTAACAAATGCATGTGGAGATGCGCAGAAACATGTGAGGTGGCTGTCCCTGTACCTGGGATTCTGAGAAGGCTAATACAGAGGAAGAACATGTAAGCTGAGCCTCAAAGAGTAAGTTCACCAAGCAGGAGAGCTGGGTATACGTGATCGTGAATAAGCAGACTAAGCAGCACGGGGCACACCTTGTGTGAGTGTTGGGGCCTTCTTTTCTCTATTCTCATTACCTGTGCTCTGGTTAGGCCCCCAAGCACCCTCACTTGAGCCACAGTGAAAGTGCTCTGATGGTCTAGTTAAGGATCCTACCCACACTATCCTAATTACTCCAGTGAGTCAAGCAGTGTGCCACGAGAGGATCTTAAAAGTGCTGCAAAAATTTTTAAAGATCATTAATTCAATTATTTTCAAAAGAAGTTCCAAGTATAGTAATTACATTCCTTTTCTTACTAATTTTTTTTTTTGATCAACATAATTTAAGTGTGCTGAGAAAGTTTAACTATAGGTTCAAGTGTGCTGTGAGATAAAAAAGGTTGAAAAACACTGCTCTGCACAGTATCTGTATTTGCACCCAGCTTTCACACCGGCCATGGCACTTCTCAACTTAAAACTCTCAGGGGCTTCCTATCACTCTCCTGGCATGGACAAGATCTAAGCACCTTGATGTAAGACTCACAAGGATGAGTCCTTTTCCAAACCCTTCAAACAAATCTACCCTTCTCCCCTATACAAGGGGTGCCAAAAAAATGTATACACATTTTAAGTGATGTTATCTATCTATTACTTTTTGTAATCGAATTGGATTGTCCAAAAGATGTGGTTAATCAAATGAATGTCAGCATCCCCCTGCAGCAGGTCTGAGTAAGATAGCTTTTTCTCTTAAAATGTGTATGCATTTTGGGGCACGCTTTGTATATGCTATGTTCCAGCCATAACTATTGCTTGCCAGTTCCCCCATATTATCCCTGTCCACACCCCCACCCATGTTCACATGTGAAGGTTGTCTTTCTCTGACTTTTCTCCCTGCAAAAGCCCCCTGTGCTTTTTCAGTCTCAGCCCCTATGATGTCTCCTCTGTGAAACTTTCCCTGACTCCTCCGGGTAGAATGAGGGTCTTTCTAAAACCCCATAAACATGCACTACCACTAATTATCCTGATGTATTGTTTGATTTTTGACATATTATTTATCCTACTAGATGATGATTTCTTGGAGGGCAAAGACCATGTCCCATCTTCATTCGCCAGCCTAAGGCAGTACTGAGCACTTAGTAGGCACAGTGCCCTTCCCTGACCTGCCTGAATGCACCCCATTCAGGGCCCCATGCAACCCCCCCCCCAGGCTTCCCAGGACCTTGGTCCCTCTCCTTCTCTGCCCTCCCTTCTCCCTACATTCCTCTCCCACACTTCATGCTCCACTCATGCTCAACCACTCGGAATTTCCTAAATGCATAAAACTGTCTCAAGCATGATAAGTCCTAGGCCTCATTAACCTTTCCCTCCTTTTCTCTCTTTAGAATACTGCCCTTCACAGGTGTCATGTCTTCCTGGGAAGCTGTCCATGGTCAGTCCAGTGGGAGTCAATCAGAACGCCTGTGTTCACCTTGTCTATCTTAATTATCAGTTTATTTTTCTTTCCCACGGGCTTGTCAGCTGCTTGAGGGAAGGAACATGTTCCGTCTCAGCACAGAGCACCCTGCCTGGTGCTCAGAAAGGCTTGGTGAACAAATGAATGATGACTAAATGAAAGATCAAAGGAATTGGACTTTAGTCTTGGTTTGCTCTATTTGCCCTGCTTGTGGTCTCTCTTTGTACCTGAATGTATAAGTCTTGGTGATCCCACAAGGCAGCGTCTTGCCAAGTGGCATCAAGGGAGCTGTGATCCGTAGCCCAGCGCCTTCCAGGATCACGTCGTGGGCAGATGGGTGTCTGCCTCCTCTGTCCACACGGTAGTCAAAAGACAGGCTTTGCCCATAGCTCACCTGTTGATTCCCAAGAAATTTGGCTGTGAAACAGAGTTTTAAAAGATTGAGATCAGTTGTGAAATGGGCAAGGTAAACACATGTGCAAGCTGGCACTAATGTCATCATTTCTGTTGGAGTCTGTGTTACCTCTCCCAAACCATCCTGCAGAACAGTCAGAACCCAGCACTGAACACGGTTATGCCACTTTTGGCATAGCCCCCAGTTACTAAAATGCTAAAAGGGCCTCATTATAGGACAAGTCCATCTATTAGATGATTGATAGCATGGCCCTTAGGACAGACTAATAGGTAAAGACCCAGCACCAGTGCCACATGATCTGTGATTCTTTATTGTATAGAGAATACTCTCACAAACATTACCACATTTGATGACAATAATTCTTGGAGGTAGGCATTACTATTCCCATTTAATAGAGAAAACGGGATTTCAGAGAGGTTAAGAGAACAGCTCGCTCAGGATAGGAACTGGGATCCGAGTTCTAGCTAGAGCTTTTCGCTCAGGCACATACCACTGATGGATATATTTTTAACTTCCAAGTGTTTATAGCTTTAAGAAATGCCTTGTTGTTGCCTTTCCATCTGCTTCTCAACAGACCCGCAGATTTGACCACAGTCCATGATTTGGTCACAAATCCAGAAACATCCCATTTGATTAAAGCAGGCACCTCAGCCAGGGTCTGACCTCTGGGACACCCCATTCTGCTTGACTGGGCCACATCCTAGTGATGTTATCAAACTGGGCTTCATCCCCACTGCTTTCTGGGGATACTACTGCCTTGAACACTAAGAGATATGGTTTCCACATTTTCTAACTTCATTTTTCTATCTTAGCTTCCTATAGTCCTATAAATTGGCTTCTATAGGAACAATTATCCCTCACATACCAGGAGCCATAAAATAGACAGGGTCGGATCGTCGGGCTGAGCTGAACACGTCCTGATGGCGCTGTGACCACTGGAGCTTCGCTGGAGACCCATTTCTTTGGACAGCCTTCCAGCCGTCAGCATCTGGACACAAAACCAGCATGTACTCGAGACAAACCTTCACTGTCTATTGGTTAAACAAGGCAAGACCTGCCTGCCAAAAAGTCCTGGTAATGAGTGGTATCAGGTGCGGGGTTCTCAGCACTTCCACATCCGCATTCAGTCCTCAAAGTTCCCTGTGTGCCCCTCTACTGGGATCTCAACTTCACCCACTCCCAACCCCCAACCCCCAACCCCCAGCTGCTTGGACTGCGCTCCCACGTGAGTGGATTCATGGTAAGAGAGCAGGTTTTCAGCTGTCTGTAATTTGGATCTTTATGTATTGACATAAAGAGAGTCTAGCATGATGAGGTGAGAGGGTTCAGTATATTTTAAGAGAAACTCAGAGCTGAAATAATATCAATTCCCAATATATCTATAGTGCTCTGTAGCTCGGTAACTAATTTCACTAAAATAATTCATTTAATGTACATGAAAGCAGCATTATCAGTGAATGCGAATGCCGGGAATGATCCCATCAACTCCCCAATCCAAACAAATGCTTCTTTTGTGGCTTTGAAAAAGATGGGGATGGGGAGCCAGGGAGATAAAAGTCTAGTCTCCTTTTATTCAAGTTATTCATATGCTAATCTGAGAAACTGTACAACTATAATTTTTTACAGACACCAGGGTGTGCCTCATTGCCTGGCAAAACAATGCCCATTAAACACTACAAGAGCATTGCTAAAGATGATGCAAGAATCCGTCGTGTGGCTGGGGAGGCGGCTGGCTGTAAGCACAAAGCCTAGGAATGGAAGGGTGTACCTCGCTGGAAGGTGGAGGTGATCCTATGGACGCTGTAGTCTGCAGAGCTGTGGCAGCTGGCTGAATGCCCGTAGCAGAAACACTGGGTGCAGCCCTCAGGGTTTCCCCTCTCCAGATGATAGTAACCTGGGCGGCACCTGCAGCAGCATAGTGGAATCAGGATAATGTTACAGGTTACTTTTATTCCATATAGAGAGTATGATGATGGATTCAGCCTGGTTCTACCTTCTCTCCCACTTGGCCCTACTAACTTCCAGAGAGGGGAAGTACCACATCTCATATACCACCTCTACTCCCAGACCATGTGAGGGACAGTTTCCCAAGTACGAGAGCATGCGGGGGCGTTCACTCCCCCCCTCCCCCCCCGTGGTAGAACAAAGTCACCTTAGTCTTGGTGGTCTGACCCCATCCTTGGGGAGGAATTAAGTAGAGGTCAAATGGGCAGGGCAGGGAGGGGTGGGGCAAGCATATGCCACTGCCCTGTCCTAAAGCATGTGTTTAATGGGGACAAAAGAGTGGGAAGCAGGGACCAGGAGAGGCAAAGCTCTGCCTTAGCACCATGCAGTTATACCCACCCCTTCACAAGACCACTGGGTATCGATCCCCATCCCTGTCCCGGAACCCTGGTTCTGTCTCATGCAGGAAAAGGGCGGGAAACATGACAAAGAATAAGGATGCTAGAGACACTCTCCAAAAGCCAAGTGTAGACTTGCATTCCACCCTCCTCCCTGTGGCTTCCATGAGGTTCACAGCTGCCAGCAAGTCTTAGATGTTGGGGTCATAGAGAAGAGGGCAGGGAAAGCTGGGGAGGACTCGGATTGCCTCTGTCAAGTTAACTGCATCCTTTCATGTGTGTTTTAATCATCACTTATTTACCACTTACATTGTGCCACGCACCATATGTATACTTCCCACATGAGCCTCCCTACCATCCTCTGTGATTAGGAATTACTATTTGCAGTTTTCTTAGATGAGGAGACCAAGGACAAAGAGGTTAAGAGACTTGACCAAGGGCTCGGCGCCTGTGGCTCAAGTGGCTAAGGCGCTAGCCACATACACCTAAGGTGGTGGGTTCAAATCCAGCCCGGGCCCACCAAACAACAATGACGGCTGCAACCAAAAAATAGCCGGGCGCTGTGGCGGGCGCCTGTGGTCCCAGCTACTTGGGA